AATTAATAGATTAGATTAAATCCGTTCATTTATATATATAAATGGATCTAATTCATTCACCACATTTTGATGATTCAATAGATTATTTTTATATTATTATTTAAATTCAATAATTTTTTTTTTAAATTAATAAAAACTTTTTTTTAAATAAAGAAAATCATATTATTTAGAATTTCAAAAAATCGAGTTTTTTTAGAAAATAAAAAAATTGAGTTTTTTCAGAAAATTGAAAATTTGAGTTTTTTCTTCCAGAAAATCGAATTTTTTCGAGAAATCAAATTTTTCAAAAAATTGAGTTTTTTTTTCCGAAAAATTGAGTATTTCTGAAAATTCGAGTTTATTCGGAAAAAAACAAGTTTTTCGAAAAATCGAATTTTTTTGTGAAATCAAAATATCAAGTTTTTTCAAAATATCGAAAAAATAAGCTTTTTTGGAAAATCGAAAAAACAATTTTTTTGGGAAAATCGAATAATCGAGCGTTTTCGAAAAATCGAGTTTTTTGAAAAATAGAGTTTTTTAGGAAAATCAAAAAATTGATTTTTTTCAAAAAATCGATGAATAGATGTTTTTTGGAAATTCGAAAAATCGAACTTTTTTTCTTCAGAAAATCGAAAAAATGAGTTTTATCAAAAAATTGAAAATCGAGCTTTTCCTAAAAAAATGAATTTTTCAAAAAATCAAAAAATCGAATTTTTTTTCTAAAAATTGAAAATTTGAGTTTTTTTTACGGAAAATCGAAATATCGAGTTTTTTCGGAAAATAAAAAAGTCATTTTTTAAAAAAAAATCAAAAATCGAGTTTTTTCAGATAATCAAAAAATCGAGCTTTTTTGGAAAATCGTATTTTTTTTCAGATAATCAAAAAAATCGATTTTTTCCGAAAAATTAAAAAATTGAGATTTTCTAAAAAAAATCAAAAAATCGAGTTTTTTAGAAAAATCGAAAAAATTCAAAAATATGTAAAAATCAAGTTTTTTTTAGAAAATAAAAAAATCGAATTTATTCGAAAAATCAAATATGTAGTTTTTTTCAAAAAAATCAAATATTAAGTTTTTTCGAAAATACAAAAAAAACACGAGTTTATTCGAAAAATACAATGTATATTTAAAATAAATAAATAAATATATTTAAATTAATTTTTTTGGATAGATGGGATATCCATCCATTAAAATGTTGTTAATGGATAGATTGAATGTATTTTATTCTTAATAGATGAATTAGATTGGATATTTTACTGGATTATTAATGAATTAATAAATTATTTTGATCCATCTATTATTAATTCAATCCATATCCATCCATTTCATCCATTTTGCGATCCCTATATAAATACTTCCTCCATTCTCTTTTATAAGAAAATTTTAACTTTTTAGATTAATTTAATAATTGATGTATCTAACTTATATATAGTCTAAATACATTATTTATTCAATGAATTTAAAAAGTCAAAATTTTCTTATAAAAGAGAACGAAGGGAGTATGATGCAAGAACATCATTCTAAGCAATGTTAACTATAAATGAAGCTGGAATTAATTCATTTCATCACCCCATAATTTATTTTCAGCTATATATCTCTACATTTCTTCATTGCTCTTCTAATTCATATTGACTAACATTACCATTATTTAACATATAAAATTTCACACACATTTGAAACTAAGTTGTGGAAGATAAAAATTACAATCATCTCAAGGCCCTTCAATCCTAGCAGTCTCTTTGTGATCCACATTGATATTTTGCACCTTCTCTTGTAGATGAGCCATATCATAAGTTGAATGAAGACCAAAGAAAACATAGTAAACCAACATAACCAAAGTGCATATTGCAAATCTCACAAAAGCATCATATTCCAAAGATCCCATGAGAAAAACAGTTGTTGCGATTGAACAAGATGGCAACCATGGAACAAGTGGAACTCCCCAAAATCTTGGTTTCCTTTGTTGAGTCAAAAAAAACGACATCCCAAGAGTCGAAAAAAACCAAACAGGAACAGTAACAGTATATCCAATCCAACCATTAGGCCTCAATCCCCAATAAGCTGAAGTTCCGATTGAAGAACCAACAATGAGAAACAAAAACGTAACTAGCTTTAACTGATTCTCTTTTGTTGTGACTCCTCTAACATAGTACCTTCTTACCAGAAGCGCAGTCGATATCAAAACGAAAACGAAAAGTGTACTTACTGATATCAAACTCGATAACACGTCCAAGCTAGTGAAAAAGGCTACGCAAGCGCTTGTAATTGTGATCAGAAGTGTTGCGTTTATAGGTGTTCCTGTTTTGGGATGAACAAGAGCAAACCAAGGAGGAATCATGTGCGAACGCGCGATGTGAACGATGTAACGCGCCTGTCCTAATCTTCCTACTAAAAGAACTGTTGTCATACCCTTCAATGCACCGAAAGCGACTACATATTTTGCCCAATTCATTCCTACTTTCTCAAATGCAATTGAAAAAGCCGCACCCGTATCGATGTCTGTGTATTTCTGCATCATGCTTAATGAAAGTGCCATCAAACAATAAACCACTATGATCACTGTCATTGAACCGATTAAACCTATTGGTATATCCTTTGGTGGATTTTTAGTTTCTTCAGCCATTGTTGCAAGACTTTCAAAACCTCCATAAGCAAAATAAAGAATTGCAGATGCTTGAAATACACCTTTAGCTCCATAAGGTAAAAAAGGCTTCAAATTCGATGTATCTGCGTGAAGAAACCCGGCAATGATTACGAATATGATTACAGCCGTGTTGATTGCCGATGCAATCCAATTCAGAAGCGAAGTTTTTCTTGTGCTGATCATTGCGATTGTTCCGGCGGTTAAAAGAACAACAACTGCTATAGGGTCAAGTAAATTGTATCCGTCTTTGAGATGATGTGCTTTGATTCGAAACAAATCTTTCGGACGATTCAAAAGGCTTGTGAAATAAGAGGTCCATGATCTAGATACTGCTGCCCCTCCAAGCACGCACTCGAGAAGTATGTTACCGGCTGCTATGAAAGCAACAAAATCACCTAATTCAATTCTTAGGTAAGCAAAAGAACCACCTGCAGCTGGAACTTCGACGGCGAATTCTGTGTAACAGAAAACAGAAAGCATTGCTGAAATTCCTGAAGCTGCATAGGATAAGACTATTGCCGCACCAGCATGGTTATGAGCTTCTTGACCAGTTAACACAAAGATTCCTGCACCAATCACTGCACCAAAGCCAAACCAGATCAGGTCCCACCAGTTGAGACATTTTTTCATTTCATTCTCACTTTGTTTCTTAAGCACTTCTGTCTCAGTTGCATCGTCCGATCTGGTCGAAACACGGTCCTTGAACCTTAACCATGTTTGTGAAAGAGCAGAACCATAGTTGTGCCAGCTTTGAAAGGATTCCTCGGGAAAGAAATCTTGTTTGCTGCATCTCCAATAGCTTCTTTGTGGCTCATGCTCATCATTTCCCTTTGTGGAAGCCATTCAAAAAGCTTGTTTCTTTACAGAAACTGCTGAGTGATTGGAATGGAATTTTGTCACTGAAGAAAACAACAAGATTGCTTTGAAATGAAAAAAATATCTCAAACAAGTGACATAAATTATTTTGTCTTTTAGTGTGGAATTTAACTCTTCATCTGTATTTTATCGCCATTCGGTGGACGGAGATATACATCTTAAAATGGTATATGGTATCATATAGTGTTAAAAATTGAATAATAAAAGTGTTACTGATATACCAGATAATTCAGAATCACAGAATTGACACTCTTTAAGTAAACCAGATAAGAATGTGGAGTGCAAAGTGTGAAGATTCTGGCACGCTAAAGTTAAGTTGGATAAAAATAACAGAGTAGACAAGGCACACACGTTTTTCTTTGGAAAAAAATGGTCACAATATTCAAACTAATTGACATGAAAATTCCACAGTTTGGAATAAATTTACATTTAATAAGGACATAATGTAGTTTGACTTGAATGCATTCATATTGATAGTGCAATAATGCACATTAGTCTACACCAATTAGTGTGCTAGTAGAAGATTGGCATCACCAAATCATGGAGATAGTAGATTCTGTCAGTGTATGTGTTGTCCACATGTGACAATAGGATCTGAAAATTTTATGGGATCTTGTTGGTGATTTTGCTAGAATGGTGAAATTTTGCACATGGTCTACATTTGAGAGGGGAACACTCGAAGTTCAAATCTAAAGGACACACAAAATTCGAATCTAAAACCTTAAAAGGGGAACACTCTCAGGTCTAAAACCTTAAAAGGGGAACACTCTCGGGTCTCAAACCTTAACCGAACGATGCACCCATGTTGATTCGACAAAAACATTGAATCAACACCAATTGAGTCACCATTTCAGAGTTGAGCCACCATTTCAGAAGTAAAGACAAGTAATACTATGAACTTCCTACTTTCGATGAGTATTATCAATTGTTTTCAAACATTGGTCTATGGTAGACCATATGAGACACGTCTTCACCCTAGACTTGGCCAACTAGCTGTTAAGAATCATGAGTTTGGTCATGATTTCCATTTGAATCAACAATAGCTGGGTAACCAACATTTACTTTTTCTGATGGAATGGTCTTCTTTTCTTCAGTCCAAATTTATTCCTATTTTACATCATCGAGATATTTATATCTAGAGTTTTTCTTCGGTTTCCGAGGACGTAAAACAAAAAAACAACTCTCAAGTAAAAACAGACTATATTTTAACAGGACCACTTATGCCAAGGAGAAACAATAGGAATCAGGTAAACTTTTGGGCCAAGTTAGAAATATCCATATTCATTATGCTCATAGTCATGTGCAACGGAGAAGGTAAAATATATCGGAAACTAAGTGACTAAATAGCATTTTAATTTAATTGTATTACAAAGTTATAGCTCTGCACATCAACATTCAGACACATGCCTTTAAGAAACCCGTTGGAAAGTATAGAACATGGGTATGTTATCAGATGAGCAAAATGATACATAAATATACTACTACCGCTAAGATGTAGAACCTCTAGCAAGTTGAATTCTCAGAAGACAGCCATTCTTGTGTTGCAGTTAAGTCTGGAAGAACAACAGCCCCGGATTTCCTCCACTCTTCGGCTTCTGGTGTCTTAAATCTATCTAACAATAGTGCATGCATCCCTAAGCTCTTAGCTGGCTCATAGTCTTTGCGCATGCTATCACCAATATGTAAAGTTTCTTCAGGTGCAATATTTCCAGCTCTCTCGAGTGCAATCTCATAAATTCTTGGGTCTGGTTTCTCAACGCCTTCAAGGCCAGAAAAAACGCCAAAGTCCCACTCAGTTCCCTGTATCATCAAACATTATAACCATCAGACATTCCCGTCCTGAGACATGAGTGCATAAGACTTGGTAGTTATGACCACATAAAAAATGTGTATCAGAGCAAAGACGCTTAAATTGAATAGTAAATTTTACTTCTGAATAGACTAAACTACTATTCAACATGATTTTCTTCAAATGTGATCCAATAGGAGCTTTGGATTCGTTGAAATTCAATGAAAATGAATCGGTAATAGCTTGTGTTTCAAAACGGAGGCATTACATTCTATATTAACATTTCTAACAAGGCCACCTTGCATGAAAACTCAAAAAGTATTCTTGCATGACAATTTGTGCTGGCCTTATTGGATGTTTCTGTAAGTAGCAATGCTCTATTAACAATGCTAAATGTTAATTTATCATTTAAACAAGTTTATAATTCTGAAAGCAAACTTTAAAAAATTGTGGGAATTTTACCTGATTTAAGCCTAAAGCTGGAAGAATCACATCTCGATATCGATACTCAGCATTGCTAACAACACCAACTTTGAGACCCTTTCCACGAAGCCATCTAAGAAATGGTTTGGAATCTGGAAAGACAGTATATGGAGCAGATGAACCAAAGGATGCATAAATGCGCCTGAAAATCTTTTCAAATGTCTCCTCATCATATTCATACCCAGCCTGTAAGAAAAATAAAATTTCTCCTTCATCAAATTCAAGGGATTTTCGCATATGAGAATGCAAGCATCATAAATCTGCAAGTCATTGCTTGATTTAAATTAGCTTACAATCAAGCCGAACCCATCATCAAATTCAAGGGATTTTCGCATATGAGAATGCAAGCATCATAAATCTGCAAGTCATTGCTTGATTTAAATCAGCTTACAATCAAGCCGAACCCATCAACAAAGGTTAACTATCCGTTGTTGTAGAACAAGAATTTAGAACCAAACTAAATATGCTATTTTTCCTTCTATGCTGCTGAGAAATGTGATTGGGCCTAACTCAACCTATAGGTCCCTGGACCGGAACCAGACTCTGATACCATGTTAAGAAATGAGGCTGAGTTTAACTCTACCCTACAAAAATGCCTTGTAGGATGAGGATCGCCCCCACTTATAAGCACACGTTCATACCATATATTATTCAATATGAAACTCTAAACATATGCTAATGTAGATAGAAACAACATTGACATTTTGACATGTAAACGCCCACAATAACGACTTCGACAAATATCTTACCCTGACAAAGGAATCTCGCACGCAGGTTTTCCACCACACAATGTTTGGCATTTTGGCCGCAAACCCAAAACACGGATACTTCTTAGCCATGTCCTTATATGCATACTTAAAGCCCTCATGCATACGCTTGTAGTCTGGGCATGGACGGCCAGAAGCTTTGGCAGCCATGCAATAATAGTCACCAAGCTCCCCTTTGTAAGCCATTAGGGTGCCGGTAACATCTATAGTGACACAGCGTAGTTTAGGCAATAATGACATGGTAGCACAAACCACAAGCAAAGTATTGAACTCCTTCAAAATTGATATTTAAGCCTGCACATGTAATTCCAAAACTAGCTTGTTAGAAATTTCAAATACGAAAAAGCTCACGTGATGTCGCTTATTAAACTTGTTTGGCTGTAAACAAAATGGAAGAAGGACAAGGGAATAAAGACCTAAGTCATTCTCTCTACAGCAGACCATTAAAATGCCTAAGATCCATGAGTTTACAATGAAAATGTAACAATGCATGTACAAAATTGACATAGAAATTTCCAAATACTAACAATAAAAATAAAAAAAAACATGCAGAAACGATTCCAAAATGTAGCATATTCTCAAATATCCAAAATGTAGCATATTCCCAAATCTCTATCATAAAAAATAAAAAAAACATTTAATATGAAACTACAAATTACTAACAGTACAAGTAAAATTGAAATCATGAAATTGCCGAATCAAAAAAGGGGTTTCAAATAAATCAAAACACTTCAAACTAAAAACACATACAGATGAAGCAGCATTAAAAAAAGAACAAAAACCCAGGAAAAAAAACATACAGATGCAATACTAGAGTATGTCTATGTCAAAACCCAGAAAATGTTTAACAAAAAAGATAGTTATTTTATAATTTTTTCGAGAAATTAATATTCGAAAAAATAAGAGATAGAAAATAATCTTATTCTTACCCGGAGAAGAGTTGATACTTTGTGTCCAAATCAGAAATGGTCCTGAAGAAGCTTCAAGCTTCAGGGAGAGTATTGTTTCGTCATCAGTCCAAATTTATAGACGAAGAGAATAAAAGAAGGAGAGAATGTGTAGAGAGAGGAGAGAGAAGAGAAGTTGTTTTTGAAGGCAGGATGATAACAATGGGATGTAGTAAACAGCCCCTAGATTTGTTACTACCTTTTTTTTTTATGTTTATGTGGTAAGTCGGCAGATGATGATAATTAATAATTTTAATTTTTAAATACTTTTTTTATTTAAAATTTTATATTTAATTGATTTATGATACAACCTTCTTCTTTGTTTTCTTATCTCACCTTAGGAAAATAAGTTGATATATTTGGAAAGTGAGGATAAAGGTCATTTAGATAATGACATACTAAGAGCTAACCATATATGGGTGCTTATGGGTACAAAGGGTCCACTCTCTCAATAAAGTTCTTGTGGAATATTTTCATTAGTGATATGGTTTTAAGCAACTAATTCATCTTCTTATTATTGAAAAATGGTTTACTTGGTGCAATGGTAGAAAAAGAAGAGCTTTAATCGAAAAGATGTTTTATATACACTGGTTTGTAATTTCAGTTGATTTCAGTTGGTTGGTTAGATCTGTGTTTTTCTTTGGTGTGTAACACTTTAACGTTGAGATGTGATTATTATCTAATTCTCATTTCCTTTGATTTAGAAGAGGTTGAATTTACTTCTTAATTCAAATTCGTGCATATCTAGGCTCTAGGCCCTTATAATTTTGGAGTTTTTTTCTATCATACCTATTAAGAGAAAATTAAATATCATGTTGACCTTGTTAAAAAGTACAGATGTGCGTGGTATCCATATACAGGTAGGAGATATTCGTAGGTCTTAGTAGTTATATAACGATTATGACTTGCCTACGACGACAAGAGACCATGTATGGTGGTGTTTATGGTATTTACATGTTGAGAGATGCCATATCACGTGAGATGAGAGGCTTTATATGTAAGCATTGAGCTTGGGGTGTAATGATATATCATTTCTCCCATTAGAGAATAAGTATTTATAGAGGACTTTGAACCTAAGTTTTCCTAAGGAATGATAACCGCCCACTAGTAAATGATAGATCGTTGAATCCCTACTTTTTAGTAGAACGTGAATCAGCTATTGACTGCGACCCATTGTCTAAGAAATATCTTTCTCCATATTTCCCATAACTAAAGGAGTGCGAGACACTTGGGACTAAGTGATTCCCACCGACACTTAGGACTAATTGATTCCCACCAGAGGGCGACATATAGTCATCGCCCCTTTTGAGGGCTATAACCATCCAACATTTGCTAGACCCCTTTACAAATATAACACAACACAGTCCCTCAAGCACAAGGGCTTTCATAAAGGGAAGAGTACTTTTAGACTATAGTGTTGGAGTATTCTGAGGCCCTAAGTTTCTTGGTGATGTGGCATAACGAACCAGACTATTTAGGCTTTGAGTCTCTCAGGTGAGCTGTTGGACCTCTCAAGCGATACTTATATCAAGTCTTCGGACAAGACTTAAACTAAGTCTCTTAGGCTAGACTTCAGTCGCACCTCCTAGGCGAGATTTATATGTTGGATCCCACACGAGGAAACTTCAAGTATCTCAGATGGGGCATTTTAGATATCCTATTTAATGGGAAATCTTAGTCCCTCAAGCAAAGTTATATTGAGCCCGAATGATGAGATTATCAGTCCCTATGACACATTTATATTGAACCTGGCTGATACGACTATAAGTCCTTTAAGCGAGGCAATGGACCTCTCGGGTATGACTTTTATCAATCCCTCAAATAAGACTTAAATTAATCCTGTTAGGCTAGACATCAGTCCCGCTTCTTAAGCGAGATTTATATGTTGGATCTCGCTTGCAGAAACTCCAAGTCTCTCAGGCAGGGAGTTTAGGTAGGCTATTTAACGGGAAATCTTAGTCCCTCATGCAAAGTTATATCGAGCCTGGATGATGAGACTAAGTCCCTTAGGCGAGGCAATGGAACTCTCGAGTGGGACTTCTATCAAATCCTCAGACAAGACTTAAACCAACTCTTTTAGGCTTTAAATCGCGTATCCTAGGCGAGATTTATATGTTGGGTTCCATTTGAGGAAACGTCTTTCTCTATGTTTCCCATAACTAAGGGAGTGAGAGACACTTAGGATGAGGCGATTCCCACCAAGGGCGACATATGGTCATCGCTCCTTCTAAGGGCTACATCCATCCCACCTTTGTTAGGCCCTTTACAAAAATAATACAACACCGTCCCTCAAGCAAAATTGTTTTGATAGAGTGCGGAGTACTTTTAGACTATAGAGTGTTTGAGTATTCTGAGGCCCTAAGTTTCTTGATGATGTGGCATGAAAAACTAGGTTGTCTATGGAAGGTAGGATCCAGATGATCAAGTTAGTAGTCCATGGCATGTTAGTTCATTGTTTAACCATTTATGATTGGCCCCTCGAGTTGGTTGTAACTATGGAAGCTTGGATTAGAAACTTCATTTGAAGTGTTGATATGGATAAAAGGAAAATGGTAATTATTGCCTGGAAGACATGTTGTAGGCCTTTGAAATAATGTGGCATTATAATTAGATCTTTACAAAGCATAAATGAAGTTTTTAATTTGCATCTTTGCTAGAATTTGCTCCAAAGTCAAGATAGTTAGGCCACTCTTATGAGATCAAGGATTCTCAGGAAAAGCAAAATGATCAATTTCCATATTTCTTCATTTATATTGGGGAGAATGAAAAAGCACTTCAAAACTATCAAGGACAATTCCACCCGAATCTTGGGAAGAGGTAACCACATCAATTTTTGGCTCGACTCTTGGATTGGCTTACCTTTGGCACATAAATTTAACATTTCCATCATTTATCATTCTACTTTCTTTGATACTGTTAGTCAGTTTATTTACAATAGATATTGGTTTATTCCTCCCAATTTGCAAGTGGTTATCCCAGATTTTTTGAAAACCATCTCCAAATGCCACATTCCTTTGGTTGATTCAAAAGACAATAGGGTGAGGACAGGAAATGTCAATGGTATCCTTAGCATAAAACAAGATTTTCAATTCATTGATAAAGCTTTTTTTAGTGCCTTGTGGAATAAGTTTCCTTGGTGCTCTAACATTCCCCTTCTAGATCCTTATTGCTTTGGAGATTAGCTCATAACATATTGCCTATTGATGACAATCTCAGTAAGAGAGGCTTCGTCGGGCCTTCTACGTGTTCTCTTTGCCATACCAACATTCAAACATCCAATCATTTGATTTTTGAATGCAATTTTTCCTATAAGTTGTGGGATTGGTTCTCTAGTATCTACAACATTCAGTTCACAGTCAAAAACCTTAGTTCTTGCTGGAAAATATTGGAAGTGGATTGATCCCCTCAAGCCCATATTATTATACCTGTCACTACTATGAACATCATCGATGCAATATGCAGTGCAAGGAATCTTGATAAATTTGAAGCTAATCACACTACTTGGAGAACTTGCATTCCTTAAATCTCTGCCCATGTGCTTCTTTTGGTAACAACACTAACAAGGTCTCTAACTCTTCTATGCTTAATGTTTGCATTATGGAATTTTTCAAGATTAGTATACAACCCCTTCCCCCCAACCTAAGATTTTTAAATGAGGTCCTTTGGCATTCTCTTCCTCTTGGTTGGTGGAAGTGCAATTCAGATGGAATGGCTAAAGACATTCTTCCTTTATATGCTTGTGCTATAGTTTTTAGAAATGATATGTCTGATCATTTTAGTAGCTTTATTCATTTAATTGACAATGAGAATACTCTTCTTGCTGAGTTAGTAGGAGCCATGGCCACTATTGAGCAAGCTTGAAAGAGGAATGAGAAGAAGCTTTAGCTGGAAACTAATTTATTCTTGGTGGTTAAGACTTTTAATGATCATTCTTTGACTCCATTAACTATTATAACAAAATGGCTAAATTGTATTCACCTCACTCATTCCATGGAGTTTGTGGTTTCTCATATCTTTAAGCTTCACCACTAAATCTTGTACTTGGTTTAATAATCTTCATGTGAATCTTGTTATTAATTTCTTGCTATAAAGTTTGGTGTCCCTAAACTTAGATTCTCCCACTCTCATTAGGGATTTTGGCTTGACCCTTCCCATATTTGTTCGTTCTTTTTTATTGGAGTTTCTCTTTTGCTTAAAAAATATACATGGGTGTTTGATTTTGCGATGAAAACAAAAATCTAAATAATTTGATTTTAATTAAAAATGAGTTTAAAATCAAGTAATTTATATTTAGATAAATTCTTATAATAATTAATTAAATAATAAATTTTAATATAAATATTACGTTCAGATTTAAAAGTTGCGAATTTTAACTAAAATAAAATAAAATTTAAAAAACTGAGTCGATTTAACACAAGAAAAATCAGAATATAAAAATCAATTCTATGTAAAACCAAACATACCTCATATATTACACATATATTAAGTTTGTTATAGATATTTTTGTAAAAGTTAATTTCTATTTTTTAAAAATATATAAAAACTATAATTGTTTTAAAT